CAAACCCTGCAGCTCCAGCGCTGTGACCTCTGCCCTTTGGTATCCTGTGACACTCAGCCTGTCTTTGTGCTCAAGTTTATTCATGATGGATAAGTTGCCCCCAATCACATATGCTGCGCTCGCAAAGAGGAACAGATAAATTATTTTCAGCTGCAGTCCAGAGCCTTGGAAGAAAAAAAAAAAGGAATGCTAGTGGTGTGCATAAGAAGAGCCTGTTTGAAGAGGGGCCCCTCCGTGGGATAGTGTGGGCAGGATGCGATCCTGTATAGCCGGCTAGCAGAATAAAATGCTGATGGGTTATGGACATGTCCCCTTTTGTCGTTTCTTAAATCTCCTTTTAAATGCGAGAAGGAGTTGCCAGATTGGTTAATCAGTGACGACCGCAGCTAGCGCATAAGAAAAAAAAAGCCCACTGGTGTTAATGAGAGTAATCAGTTGTGCTTGGTGTTTTTTCAGCGTCTCAGCATGTTGCCATTTGGGCCCCACCTCTTGGATCCTCCAGTGGTTTAGTCTGCTTTGTAGAGAATGTAATTGCCAGGAGATCACTTGATGGTTGATAGGAATAAAATAACCTCCCTCCTTCCTTCTCTCCCTTCCCCCTCCTTCTGCTCTGCCATCTCCCTCCCCATCTCTCCATTATTTCCCTACTAGTTTGTCCTCAGCCGTGCCGTGTGTTCACCCAGTCACTAGCCTGGTAGCACAAAGCAGTTATTGTTAGTACGTGTGTAGAGAATGCTTGCTTTGTGGGACAGTTCTGAGTGAAATGGAAAGAACCTCACTGTATTAGGCTCAACTCCCCAAACGTGTGTATTAAAGCCTGGTTTGTAGGCTCCTGTTGCTAGCAAGGCTGTGGCATTGCTTTCCATCTGGATCTGATAGCAGTTCAGGGCCTTGGAAGACGGATAAATAGCAGGTGACCTGAAATGTCATATGTCGTCTTTTTGTTGTTGATTACGCCCATCAGCCTTGTAGATAGAGGTGAGGGTTACAGTTAACAGAACATTGTGTTCAGAATAGTATGAGACTTGTTTGTGGATCGGGAGTGATCTTAAGAGTGCACCTGTTTCGTAGTTCAGCATTTTTATTAAAAAATAAAGCTGGTGCTCACTGGTGCTGTGTAGGAGTCTCTGAAAAGAAGATAACATTCAGGGCTGTTCTGTCTTGTTTACAGTATACTCCTGCTTTGCTGTAAATAGTGTATAAAGAGTACATGAGGTGATGAAAAGAGGACTGGGAGGATTTGTACCGATCAGCATTGATCGCCCCATTTTTGTAAACGGTTCATTTTGTACATCGAAGTAAAATGTTTCAACGTGAATTAAAAGTTTCAGTGAGATAGTACAGGATACCTTTATCTAGGCCTGGAACTGTGAAAGATGAACCACGTTCACACTGGCTCTCGAGTATATTACGTAAAGAGACTGATTGAGACTCCTGCTTTCATTTGGGGAAAGTCATTATTGCGGATCTCAAAATAAAGCAGCTTTAGTATTGCGTTTAAAATACTACTCTCTGTTCTAAATGGTGCTGTTTTCTGTGCTTGTTGTTTTCCAAATTTTGTGTAAAGCAGCGGTGTATCTTGGGCAGGCCTGATGAGCTGTGCTTCGTAAGTGGTGAGGATCCCATAGTAAAGAGGCTGAATGGGTGGCTGCTGTAGTACACTTTCATACTGAAGGCATGATAGTGTTTTTTGGTTATTACAGTAAGTGCTATTTTTTGTACTGGTTAAATCTTCATTCTCCCCACCTTCTATTCAAAGCAGAGGGAAACTGAATGCAGTCTCCTGCTCTTTTTATAAACATTTCTCAATTTTTCCAGTGCTTCACATTTTTCAGAATTCAGCTTTTGTGTTTTTAATGAGTGCACTCTCAAATTTCCAGCAACTATCCTGCACTAAGCTATAGCCAGGAGACTCTATAAAAGGTATTGAAAGGCTTGGAGAGACAACATTAATGCACCCAAGTGTATGGTACAGATGATGCATTTAGTATTCAGATTACATAGGGAGTAAAAATGGTTCATCTCCAGTGGCTCCATAACACTCCCTTAGCTCAGATAGAGAATAATGGACTGGGGGTCTGCTGGTCTGATGCTTTTTGATAATTTGTCTTAAATAATTTCAGTTACCTGATTTGTATAACCGAGTCCATTTGTTCTTGACGCTTCTATTGATTTTGTATGTTTGCTGTTTCAGGATTGTTTTAATTCTTGTTGGAAAGGCAAAGGGAAGGTTGCCTCCCCTCTCAGTCTCGTTAGTTGCCTTCAGGAAATGCTTCCTATTTACATTTTGGTTATTTCCTTGGGTATTTCCTGAAAAAAACTCCTCAGCTAAATGGAAGGTTGGAGTGTTTTTTTTTTTACATCTGCTTCTTTGTTCTCCGGTATTTAAGTAATAAGCAACATAAGTACTTATTTGACATGTTTTAGTCTCTGGGTGTGCCCTAACGAATATCTGAGCTTGAAATTGTTACTTGTATAGTCTCATTTTTGTGTTGTAAAGTTCTTGTTTTTATAAAGTTTCGCGCTGATTTGCTCCTCTTTCACATGCTGTATTCAAGGAGCACAACACGACTGGTACATGTTGCTCTTTAAAACTTTGGTAAGAAATGCAGCGTGCACTCTCCTATTTTAGACCTGTGATTTTGGTGGTTGTGCTCCGGCGGGGAGTGCTTAACTGAGCAGACAGGAGGAGTATGTAATTATTTTGGTGCGATTGGGTAAGCATTTCAGCGAGGGCTGCTGTGCTCTCCTCTCACATCAGCCGTTGGGCCATGTGGAGGCCAGTAATGGCTCTGGCACCACAGCAACGGCACTGCAGTAGTAAATGGTTTTCCTGCTGTTTTGCTTTGTGTGGCTGGTAACGTATCAGAAGAGCAGTGTTCCAGAGACTCCAGCTGGAGTAGGCTCGCACTTAGTCACACGAGGAGCCCGCAACGACGTCACTCACTAATCAGTCTGCCTCAGGGCGAGGGATGAACCCACTGACTGAACTTCCTCTCATTGACACCAAGAAATTCTGGCATAGATTTCAAGTGCAGTGGGCATGGAGCCACATCTGTCACTTTGAGCAGGAATTAGGCAAACGGCTGGGTGCAAACTTAGATGCAGGAGCTGTTTTAAGGAATCTAAGTCGAATGCTCTAGCTCTTGTCCCCCTTTTCTTCTCGGATGTTGAGTGTTTTAAGTCATGTGGAATATTATGTTATCCATCATTTAAAATTAGATCTGTAATCAGTGAATCCGATCTGATTTATGGCAGAGAACAGAAATGTAAGAAACCTCCTGTTTCCGGCTTGTTAAGCGCCTGTGATCTGCTGAACGCAGGGGCCCTGCCACATTGAGGTTGTCCACCTGTAATTGAAAGTGTTGCCAATTAGGACCAAATTGCTTCCTTTCTTGGTTGCTCTCTGACGTGGATATCTTCAGCAGATGTATCCAGGGCTCAGTTGGAGTTGGTTTTGTAACGGGTGTTTTCACTTGATCTGGGGAAGGATTTTATTTGTAGGTTTTCTGATTTTTCTTGCCAGTCAGCAAAACTTATTGACCTTTTGGTTAGTTTGCATTAAATACTTTCCTAAAGAAATTAGGTTTGGGTTTCTAGTTTTCGTATTGACCTTTTTGCTTTGATGTTTGATAAAATTATCAGTCCGATTGTTGCCACACATCATTCTCCTGCTTTTAAAGTAGCATCCGTCTTCAGGACACAGGTTCTCTAACAGTTTATCCCAGATTTATACACGCAAACATTCTCAGGTAAAGTCTGTTGAGTACAGGGGCTGCTCTGCTCAGAAGTGTGACGTGCGGGTCACTTTGAATAGTGCAGAGTCCTAAATATAATTTTCACTAAACAAGCAACATGGGCAGAACTTCCTCCCTTCGTTTGTAACCTTTCTTACATTTGTGTGTGTCTTTTCATTTTTTTTAAATGATCAAGCGTTAGACACTTTCAGATTTGTTACCAGATGACCTGTAGTTGTGGTGGAACTTCTTTTAAAAAAAATCAGTTTTCTATAAACATCCAGGTACTCTTTGTTTTTTGGTACTCTCATCTTCTCTAAATTTTCAAAATATCTACGAAAATGAAGTGTAAATTATGAAAGACAGCTAATTTTGGCTGAAATGCACAGAAGTGAGCAGACCTGTGAAATGTCCGAAACACATTATCCTGTGGCTCAAGCTGATTTTTTCCTCTTGAAATGGGCCTTAGACATTAAAAAAAGCAGCAATTCCACAACTTGAGAGAGAGGCCGGCAGAGTTCTTGATTGAATTTATTTTAGCTGCTGTGTAAGGAGGCTTAAAAGAAAGAGGAAAGTGGGGGTGGGTGTAGTGTTGGTGGGGGAAGGGAAGGGGAATTCTCCTTGCACTTTGTTGTACTAGAAGTTGAAATGTGAGTGAAGTAAGGACACATTCTTCAGTCCCTGTTGGGAGCACAGGGGCAGCTCTGTTTCCTGCTGGACGCGCAGTGGTGGGGTCCACTCGGGTTTAGCTCACTTCATCTCGGCCCGAGATAATGCTGCTTGCTCATCTGATTACGCTGCTCAGGGGATGATGAGGTTAAGGACACACTGGTGGTAACTAAAGCATTTTCAGGGCTTTAGTTCAGCAGATGGGCTGCCTGCCTGTATTCATACATCTGCCTGCCTGGTGTGGCAGCTGCTGCTGCTGCCGCACTTTGGGTTCTTTTGTTCTTTTCCATCCAAGAATGAATTGCCAGGGATTGTAAAGAATGAATTAATTTGGGGTTGGTGCCTGCATGTGTTGTGAGTAACCTATTGTTTGAAAGCAAAGGAAAGGGAGGGGGGGGGGGTTGGTGAGGAAAGGATGGAAAAAAAACAGTTGCGCGAAGTTATCTGCTAAAGATACCAAATATACATTCTTAAAGCTTGTTTGTTTCTTTAGTCCGAAAACTTCGGTTTTTCGACTTGAATTTGCATTCCTGGCTCCATCTTGAGTTAATCCTAACATGCTTCCCCCCCCCCCCCTTGTTTTTCTTACCCTAGGTCCTGTAACCCGACTTTGCCTGACACTGCGTTGTCCAAAGGAATTAAGGAAATATGGAGTGACATGCAGGAGATTAGTTAAAGGATTAAAGGCTTTGAGGACATACACCTCAGTGGAGGCACAGATTCGCTCGCTTGGCGCAGAAGCTCGGCGGGGGGAAGCCGCCGCGGGCTGACGAGAGGGAAGGAAGGATGGCGGATCCAGGGATGATGAGCTTGTTCGGGGACGATGGGAATCTGTTCACTGAAGGGCTAGAAGGTCTGGGTGAGTGTGGCTACTCCGAGAGCCAGGTCAACCCCCTGGGGCAGCAGATGCCCATTGATCAGGGCTACGGGTCACTGCCTTCATCGCTCCACCACACCTCCCAGGCTGCGCCTGGCCAGGGCCAGCCCAAGCTCAGCCACTTCGACCATTTTGGCCAGTACGAGCAGCCGAAGATGCACTTGATTGAGCAGCAGGGGGGCCGGATGCTGGGCAGTGCACCCGGAAATGGCATGTCCTCCCCTCACTCGCAGTACCACAACCCTCCTCCGCCGGTCAGCCACGGGGGCGGAGGGCAGATAGGAGTGTATCCAGGCATGCAGGGAGAAAGGCATGGCCAGCCTTTTGTAGACAGTGGCTCCATGTGGGGGCCCAGGGCTGTGCAGGTCCCAGAACAGGTTCGAGCCCCCTTCCAGCAGCAGCAGCAGCAGGCTCCGCCCCAGCAGTCTGGCCCCTCTGGCCCGCAAGGCCACGTTCAGCAGATGGGTCCCTACATGGCCCGGGGTGATTACACAATGCAGCAGCACAGCCAGACGCCCACCCCTCCCAGAATGAACCAGTTCTCCCAAGGCCCGCCGCAGGAAGGCAGCCGAGGACCACCAGCCAACCATTTCCTGGGACACATGGCCCCGCAGCAGAATCCCAATCTCGTGGGGCCTCCTATGCGCCACTCGGTGCAACCGCAGCAGCCCCAGCAGTTTCACCATCGCCCCCCGCCCGGGGCGATTCTCCCCGAATCCGTGGCCCACAGCCCCCGCTTCTCGCCCAGCCCCTCTCAGCAGCAGCAGCAACAGGCCGTAGCGGGGGGAAGGCCGCAGCAGAACTTGGGCTTCAGCTCGCGCAGCCAGCCGGTTCCTTCTCCTACTGTGAACAACTCAGGGCAGTATCCCCCATACTCTCCGTACAGCAACCTCAATCAGGGATTAGTAAACAATACAGGGATGAGTCCCAACATGAGCCTTACCAGCAGCAGTGCCCCTATGAACCAGGGGCCAGTGGTGCCACGTTATCCCAGCGCCGGTGTGGGCTACCCCCCGGGGGGGCCCCAGGGCCTCATGCACCAGCAGCCCATTCACGTCAACCAAATCAACTCCCAGCCTATGCATCCCTCTCAGCAGCAGCAGCCGGCGCCGCCGCCACAACCGGCACCGCCACAGCAGCCCCCGCCTCAGGGATCCTACGGGTCTCCCCCTCCCATGTCCCCGATGAAGGCCATGAGCAACCCAGCGGGCACGCCCCCCCCACAGCAGGTCCGGCCGGGCAGCGCGGGCATGGGCATGGAGGTAGGGGGTTACCCCAGCATGCCTCACCAGCCCGCCGGAGCGCTGGGTTTGTCTCAGAGGAACATGGGTCCCAGAGGCTTGACGCAGCAGCAGCAGCAGCAGCCGCCGCCACCCCCCCAGCCCTACATGGGCCTGTCCCCCAGCCAGAGGGACTTGGCCGGATCACTACGTCCCCCGGGAGGCCTGGGGGGTGGTCACGCGGAGCCACAGGTGTTGCAGGACCAGCGGCTGCTGTCTGGACCTCCCCAGCAGCCCCCGCACCCCGGCCCGCAGCTGCCACCCCCGCTGCCTTTTCAGAAGCAGCAGCTGCAGGCCTGCTCCCCCATGCAGCAGCAGCAGCCCCCACAGCAGCAGCAGCAGCAGCCGCAAGCGCTTCTGTCTGTGCATCGTCAGAGCTCCCCGCCTCACCCTCACCACCAGCCGTGGGCACAGCAGCACCAGTCGCCGCCCACTCCCCAGAAAGTGCCTGTTCAACAGGTGAGTAGTGAGCGGAGGGTATATACAGAGGGCAATTCCCTTCCAGGGGGAAGAGGTGGGGATTATTGGGCGCGACATCTGACATATGACTGTGCTTTATTTCGGTTGCTGGTGTGCGGGGTGCACGTGTTGGTCTTCTAGCCATGAGCGTTTCCACTCGTGGGCTAACTGGGTCCGCTGTGCTGAATCGGATTTTTACAGCTGTCGGCGTGCTCTTTACACCCTGGTCTGGCATTCCCCCAGAAGTGGGCGCCACCAAACCAAAATCCTGACCTCCCTCCCCCCACCTTAAGGTTGAATGTCTGTAAGCATCTCTGTCTCTCTGTGCCTGTCTCTCCCTCCTCCTCCCTCTCCCTGCTCCCCTCCTCCCCCGTCCTCCTCTGAATGTTTGGCTAGCCTGTCTCGGAGGACTCATGTGCAAGTTAATGGTGTACAGCAGGATGTGTCCCTGTTGGGAAGGGCTTATGGGAGGGGGTGGGGGAATTAGGAACAGAAGCTCTCAATAGCCAAGCGTGTCACGTGCCTCCGATGCCATTAGCTTGTTTTGCACTCAAAGCTTCTTTCTTTGGTGACCCGTTCCATTCACACACAATAGCCCTTTCCATCACAGGATGCACATGCAGCACTTTATTTTAGAAACTATATATTTAATTTTGGCACCTTCAGTTTTCTGTCTGCTCATATTGCACGCACAGTAGTATAGACCCGATTTAATGGTGTCTGTCCTAATGACTAGGCTGTTTGGTTGGCATTTTGGATGTAATTAGTATTTGGTAAACACAGTGCGTGTGACTAGATGGTGTGTATTCAGGCAAGCTGTGTGCCCTGCATTCTGTTTATACACACTCCTCTCTTTGACGCTTTATCAGGCACAGCCTTGACAGACCACCCTGTGATTTGTCTCGTTCAGAAAACGTCTGCCGACAACTTTTGACCATTTTTTAATCTTTTTTTTCCTGTGTGGGCTGCACATCAGATGCAAAGCATGTCTGTTCAATGATATAATTGTCACATCTGAAGCAGCTGTGTCTGGCACTGTGATAGTTATTAAAATGTTTGGCTGACATGTAATTCAGAAGTTGTTAATGCTACAAATATGAATGTGTAAAAGTGTAGGTAGCGTTTTAAAATGAATTAATCAGTCCAAGGTTTCCAAGTGCTTTGTGTGCTTCTCTCTGAAATTGTTGTAATTGCAAATCGAAGACAAATATGCAGATTAAGTTACATGTAAGCATCAACTTCCTGCAGAGCTTCGGTAATTGTTCAGAAAATGCTTTCTTGTAATTTGGATGTTTGTATTAAGTTTAAGTTAAGTTTCCGTAAAGAATGTTCTGCCTTTGAAATCTGTTTTTCCAGTGGGTATCTTCCTGTTGAGAAAACATTCACTAGAATGTGAAAGTAAATAAGGGGCCTCCTAAACTACAGGGGCCTTTCTAATGACTCAAATCTGAAGATCTCCTTTTTAGTTCTTTCCAGAATTCACAAGCACCGGGGTAGAGGTTCTCAAAAAACCTTGCCGTTTCCATGCGAGCAGGATCTCTGCCAATGAATTAAAACCTACGGTAGTTAAACACAAAAAAATATTAATTGCATACTAGCCCCCATTTCATTTCTTCCGTGTTGAGCAAAAACATGAATTGCGTGTACTGCAGGCATAGGGGCAGCCTTTCTGTTCCTTTTGTGAGAGGGGTGCTACGCACCTGTGCTTATGGGGGTTTGGGCTGGTGTTTCGTGCGAGAGCCGGGAGTGCACCAGCCTGACCGCAGTCTGTCCCTGCGCGCGGCCGGGATGCAGACAACTGTTGTGGTCTGGAGAAGGAGCCGGAGCGTGAGAGCCTGCCTGAGAATCCCAGCTCAGCCACCCGCTAATTCTCCATTTCCATATGCTAGGTCAGGCGACAGCCTGGGCTGCACTTCAGCAAATTAAACTGGAGCAGGAGACGGCACTACTTTTCCATCTTATTAGCAGGATCATGCCGCCCTGCTAGTGCTGTCGCAGTAAAACAGCTTGTGGGAGTGGACTGCGATGGCTGCTGATTTGGGCACGATGAAATAGTTTCACGTTGTGCTATATATTGCAAGGAAAGCCGGAGCTGGGGTGGGAAATTAAGGTTTTCACTTTGTTTTTAATCTGTGCCTTCTTTATTTTTTTTCCTCTGGACATTGCTTATTGACCCCTGCGGATCCCTCGGGGAACTAGGGGTTACAACATTAGAGGAAGTTTGGGGAATAAAGCTTCTCTGTAGACTAACATGCTTTACGGATTTTGCTTTTAACGTACAATAAAAACGAGGCCCCTATTACTTCAGCTGCAGGGAACACTTGAATGGAGTGTACGCTTTTGGCCTTATTAGTGCGCGATATTGTATTTTGTCTCTGGACTGTTATAACCTCAGGGGACTGATTCAGACCCAGCGTCCCCTCCCTCCCCCTCTCCTTTTCTTCCCCCTCTGCAAAACAAAAGGGCTGTATGGTTTCTTGTAAAGAGGAGATTATGAGATAGGCACTTGAGCCTTTCTGCCCTTTGGCCAACAAGTGGCTTTGTTTGAAAAGATGGATTTGAGGTGGTACAAGTGGCATTGGGGAGGGACATTGTCCCAGTGATCCCTTCACCTCAGGTGTTGATTTGAGGGGGGCTTGGGGTGGTTGTTCTACTCATTGTCTTCCTCCTAGCTGTTGGCTGCTGCCTGTTCTTCACCGTTTGCATAAAACACCAGGCGCTGATGGCAAGCGCGCTCGTTCGGAGGTCCTGGCTGTCACCTGACTAACCCTGAGACTGGATTTTAAGTAGGCGTTTCAAAGGGCGCAAAGTGGTGGAGTAACAGCTTCGCTGCCCTGCGCAACCTCGTACTTCAAGGGAAGAATCCAAGCAAGGGTTTATGGTGACATCAAAGGGGAATTTGTCACTAGGCCTCCCCCGCGTTTTCTGCACCGCTGACGGGTTGTTTGAAAGTGTTACGTTGGGTGCCTTTTTTTGCACGTGGATGTGGCATGTATGAATATGGAAATTGAATTTTGCAGAAATTGTAGCAAGCTGAAAGGATGTTTGGTGATTGCAGCTTTTTTTTCTCCTTCATGTCTGAGCAAGTACAGCGACAGTGCGAAGTCAAAGGCTCTGCTTCCGATCTGCTGTTGATGACACTGCAGTGTTAGGAAGACCATGAAACATTTCAGGACTGATCCCCAAAAAAGTAACATGTTTGTCAAAAACAGTGAACATGTTTAGAACATTCTCCTTTATGGTTACCCATTTTAAAAATGACTCGTAGTAAACCTATTTTTGATAGACTGTGGGTAGGAATATGCAAATACCTTTCAATAATGAGTGTCAGAAATGGTGTTTTGGTTCTATCTCTGGTATATAGCGATGTGGTAGAAGATCTTAGGGCTCTTTTTCTCAGATGGTGCACTTTCAAACATTTTGTACATCATGGCATTTTGCAAACTTGAGAAAAAATAAAATGGCCTGATGGTTTATGTATTATTTTGGCAGAATACCCAGAGTGTCTTGTTGCACATGTGTGTACAACACACAAGACAGACGTTTGGGAGTTCAAGATTGAAGGACAAAAAAACAGCATCTGAGCAAGAACTCTGTTACCCTGTCATCAATGGATAAGTATAGTTAATGGTATACTTAGAGGCAAACCCTGATTAAATGTCAAAAAGTTGTTGTAGTAATATGTGCTTTGGGCGCTGATGTGGGTGTGTGGAGCGGAGCAGTGTGCCGCAGTATCTTTAGATTTATGTAAGTGTGTCTTGGGATGGCAAACATTGAGATACACTGTCCTAGGACATAGTCCTGTATTTAGAGAAGGCTAATCTTGCTTAGCTGAGTTGTTGTATGTACACAACATAAGATGGTGTTATTTAGATTCTCTGGAGGGTTGTGTTAAAATTACTCAGATTCTTTTTCAAATTGCAGGTGACAAAACATTTTGGCAGGTGCCTTAATAGAGAACAGATAAGGGGAGAATGTTGAAATGGGTGAGGTAATTAGTGGAGTTCCACAGGGATCTGTACAAGGACCATTGTAATTCCTAATTGATACCAATGATCTAGTTTTTAATTTAATTAGCAGAATAGTATTGATAGTATCCGATTTTATTCAACTTAGACTTATTTTTTCTATTTAAAAAAAAGCTACCAGCAACATTGAGCAGGGAGATTTTACCTCCTGTAAAATACTAAACACGGGGAAAAAAATAAAATTAGGAAAAAAAGCATTAAAAGCATTTACAAAATGAAAGGCCTCCATGACACTACTAGTCCAACTACTGGGAAAGTTTTGCATGTGCTTGCAGATCCGTGAAGAGCATGTACTGAATTTACATAATGATCTAAACTTAATTGTATCTGCATTTTGTACTTTCAGTCTTTACATAAGTTTATAAATCAGAGACTAAACATTTTAAATGCACTTCATGATTCTATTTATAATCGTTGTTACTGCTAAAAGTCATTTTATTAACAGTGCACAAGCTTCCTGTGATATTTTTTACTCTGCCGTTGTTTGGTTTAGAAATGTTAAGAGATATATGAAGTGTCTGTGTATGTAAGCCTGTGAGACGATTTTTTCAAAGAAAAAGTGTAATTTAAACTTCTAAGGTACCAGTGACACCACTAACATTGATGGTGACCAACAAGAAAAGTGGATATTGCTATATTAAAATACAAATTGTTTTGAAATATTAGTATAATATTTATTAGTATTAATATTGCATATTCAATAAATATCACACATTATCCCTTTGCACTGTTATCATGAGGGAAGAGCAGAGGTATTTAATGTTTTAATTGTAATTAGAATATACCCAGTCTTTCAGCATTAGACAGCAGTTTACAGCATTTAGACAAGTCTTGCAACCTGTCGATGGTGTTCACATTTGTGACTTTATTTCTTCAATGTATAGTGGTATTGGGTTAGATTACTTTCTAGTTGAAGTTTTCATTTGAGCTGATTCGTTGTTGGTTAGAAGAAACAGCGAGGTGTAGCAGACC